AAAATATGTGTTTTATTATAAATATTGTTTTCTTCTGAATTATATTGTTTTTTATGAAGAGAAAGAAGAGGAAAACAGCTCAGGGGCTGGTACAATCTTCTAATACAAGCTATCATCCTTCGTCGTTGATATATTCTTGAAATGGATAGTGGTGATCTGCAAACCTCTGATCTCCACCTTGATCCAGACCGCTCATCAACCCTATCAAAGGTTTAGAGAGAAGTAGAAGGTGAATCGAACTAGTTAATTTAAAACCTTTGATAGGGTTGATGAGTGGTCTGGATCAAGGTGGAGATCAGAGGTTTGCAGATCACCACTATCCATTTCAAGAATATATCAACGACGAAGGATGATAGCTTGTATTAGAAGCTAGAAGGTAGCTATAAGGTCAGCTAACGTGGCCGTTCATCCCATTAGCAGTTAATGATGGAGATGCATTGCGAGGATCTGAAGTCCAATGGTTGACTCATGATGATGGCTTAAGTCAAAAGATATAATAATGATTGCAGAGGTTGCGTCAGCAGAAAGATGGCCGATGTGATAGGTTTGTTGTGTGAAGTCATGCGCTTGGAACAGTTCAATGAAGGGAGTAAAACTACTCGCCACACTAGTTTTTTTCTTCTTGAGTATTTCTTGAACGAGATGCGCTAGCCTGTCCACGGAATGAGAGAACTAAATGATATAGTCATGTATAATATGGCTCGCAAAAAGAGGTCATAGACTGAGTTTGGATTGAGCTTGGTTGAATAATATAGTTTCTTTGTTTAAGTGGTTCGTCGAAGAAGGTCATTGAGAGTCTTTAGCTGGGCCTATGGGTAATGACGTTTCGAGATCGACCGATAAGACGACCTTGACATGCTCGCGCTCATGATGCGGGGCTCGAGGACGTGAAGTAGTGTCAAGTCTGAAACGTGCAGTGGAAGGAAACTGAGTCCCTCAGGTGAAGGAGACATGTGTTTTTCAGGAATCTAAAGATTCGAGAAGATCTGGTTTATCAAAAGGGATGATACGGGAAGACTTCTGGCCTCATTAGGAGTCCTTCGGCCAACACATGACTGCAACTATAAAAGGGATAAAAGTTATTACTTGACACAACGCACATACACACGCAAAATATAGTATTGTCATATTATTGTTGAACACATACTGACTTGAGCGTCATAGGCTTTTTCGCTGAGACCCCTTTCGGTGTTTTGCAGGTCATTGGAAACGTCAAAGTGGTTCAAATCAACAAAGACAAGTTGCGCAACAAGATCATTGAAAGCACATATTTAGTTCAAGTGAATTTCAGTCATAGCTATTTATTTGTGTGGATCACTGATTTATATTAATCAACTGAAATTTATATTAATTATATAATAAAAATTAATAATTATTATATTTATATTAATTATATAAAATGTACATTTTATTGCATATTTTTGTTGTTTATTTAGTTCATTCATGATGCATATTTAATTCATAACATGTGTATATTTAGTTCATAAACAACACATACTTAGTTAATATTATTGACACATATTTAGTTTATAAACATTTCATGTTTAATGCAGTTAGTTGATATTAGAGGAATTTGCACCCCTTACCAGCACTTATTATTTTTATTACACTTATATGCTCTATATATTTTTATTTATAAAATTACCTAAACAAGCCAAAAGTATTTCAACTTTACCTAACATTGGGATGTAACGTTATTCCCTTTTTTCATGACATATTAAATGCTAATCAAATCTAATTTCAATTAAGGATCTCTTTAACCTAAACAATGGACAAAAAATTAAAACTCTTACGGGAAAAATCGAACTGCCAGTTATGATGACTCGGAATGTGGGCATGGAGTCGAGGAGGTTGATGAGGACGGGCTTTCGCGTGAGTCTCCAAAAACGCAACATATCCTTTGTTTTAGGTCTCCAGAAACGCAATAACAGACAAATCATATGTTTTTTTTTTTAATTTTAATTTTTTCAATGTAGGTTTTTTTAGCTCCATGATCGAAGGGGAGAAGAGGTGTGTTTGGGATGTGGAGTGGAGCTTTCGTGTAGTTTACTATAAGACCATTTTGGATAATTGTCTCATGTTTTTTTTGTGTTTTTAATTTTTAAGTGTAGAAGATTGAAGTGGTATTCAATGAAAACCATATTTTGCTCCTGCTTGAGTGTATTTTATTCATCTCTAAATGTACAGGGAATCAAATTCTGTCTCTTGAGAAGCAAGAAAATCTGCCAACCCGACTTTGTCCCCGGCACGCTGCAATTCCGATTGAATGAGCCCTTATTTTGGTTTTCTTTCTTTAACCCGCGGCACGAGGCAATCGCAGTATATGTTGCATGTATATGTAGTATATGTTCAGTATATGTGCAGTATATGTTTTGGATGAAAATCTTCTCAGATGATAATTAATGATGAATACTTGATATGCTTGATACGTAGATAGATAGTTTTCATTTGTATAAGTTAGGGGTATATGTTGTGTATATTTGGAGTATATGCTCTGTATAATATAAGGGCTACCTTATATGTGTGTAAGGTTTATATTGACAAAGCATAAACTGATTTTCTTTATATATATGGTTTATATTAAGTATATTTTCGGTATATGATGAAAAAATTTATCGCGAGACATAATTTTTATGTATAAAAGCAATTTATATTTAGCATAAACTGATTTTTTTGTTGGTGTTGTGTATATGTATGGTTTTATATTAAGTAATCTGTTATAATATACTTTTATATTATATATATACTTTTATATATAAATGAAAAAAAAAAGAAAAAAAAAGGAAGATATAATTTTTTTATGAAAGATATTTTTTTCATTACAACATATAATGAATATATACTAAAATAAACGCAATATATACCACATGACAACTGCGTGAATTATGGAATTCCAGTTGCGCACATATACCGAATATATACTAACATATACTCAATATATACCATCTGACAACTGCGTGAATTAAGGAATTTCAGCTGCGCATATATACTGAATATATACTAACATATACTCAATATATAGCACATGAGCTGCGTGAATTAAAGAATTCCAATTGCGCAGAATTAAATGAGTTAGTTATTTATTATAGGCATGTTTTTCATTTCTCTCTCTTAATCAATTCCATAAAAAGGGGAATGAATGTTGAAGATAATGGTAACCGAATTTAAGCATTTATGTTACTTATTATGTATTAGGTAGGTTTGTAAATATTTGTTTATGGGTTGTATATTTGTAATCTATACTTATATTAAAAGCCATACTATTTACCAAAAATAGTAGCAAAAAAGTCAACTCACATTTAATACATACTTTATTTAGAAATTTTTTACTATATGCATTAATTGCTTGCATATGTACATTTCCTATTCAAATATGATCAAAAAGATTCTTTCCTTAAATAATTTTATTAACTTCTACAATGATTTTATTGATATATATTATAATTCATATTTGTCGATAATATTTTTTAATTTTTATTTGAGTATATAAAAAACAAATATTTTTTTAAAATTAATATGTTATTTATCATTTAAGAGACAATGATCACTTCATTAAATGATATTACTGATGGCTAGATAATAAATTAAATACATTAATTATTCTTTAAAATTTTGGCATTTTATTTATTTGTATCTATACTTATTATATAAGGTATCTTATTTACCAAATTTAATAGATTGAAAAATCAACGTAATTAATGCATTGCTATTTCTATCCAGAATTTTATTTAATTATTTTATTTATTTGTCTTATATCCCATAAAATCAGTTTAAGAAAAAAAAAAATCCCATAACATATGCAAGTAAAAAAAAAAGACGTAAAATCTTTACTAAAATAAAAGACTTTATTTATTTGTCTTATTCCATATTAACATCAATTTTGTCAAAATAAATCCCATAGAATCAGTGAAATCAAAATTTGTACGTAAAGTCTATCTATCCAAAAAAAAGTCAGATTCAAAATTCTTTATCTAATTCCTTCTTTTTCTTATCTAATTGCTTCTTTTCTTTATTTAATTCCTTTTTATTATCTAATTGTATGAAAATCTGTTCTGATTTTATTCAATCATCTAATTGTATTTGTATCCATAAAATTGTTTAACAAAAAAAAAATACCATAACATCCGATAAGTAAAAAAAAGTACGTAAAATCTTTACTAAAATAAAAAGGATTTATTTATTATCTAATTGTATGGAAATCTGTTCTGATTTATGGAACGTACTAAAAATTGTGCACCCGTGTTCAGGAACTACTTAACGGGCAAGCTCTGTGGAAATGACTCATTTAGTGTTTCTATCTCGTGCATAAGTGGTATGTCTTTTTATTACACATACTAGAAAATTGTGCACCCTGTGCATCGCACGGGCTCTGTACTAATAAATGACCTTAAATTTGTGCACCTCGTGCATCACCCGTGTTCACATTTGGCCTATTACATGTCACGTACTATATATATCCCGTACATTTTTTTTATTCATTTATATAATATAAGAATGGATAAATGACCTTAAAATCGTGCACCCCGTGCATCGCACGGGCTGTGTACTAGTATTTTTAGAATCATGTAGGATATATAAAAATTTCCCTTGATATTATTTGGTGCACTAGTTCACCTTTTATATGGAGATCTTGGCAGCAAATGATTTCCAGCTTGAGATTTTGTTAAGTGAGCAACTGGATCGAAAGAGCAACAAAAATGATCCAACATAAAAAGGAAATCAAAATCGGTTTTGGTTAAGCAAGTGCCCAGAATATATATGGTTCAAAAGCTTCTACTTATTTTTAAGCTTACACAATGTTAAACCCTTTGTTTGTTTTTTTTTTTTTTTTTTTTTTTTTTTTTTTTTTTTTTTTTTTTTTTTTTCTTTTCAGTTCAAGCTACTTGGACCATTATATATACAGTAACATCATAAAAAGGTGTACAAAGTTGTAGAATGCCTCTACATGCAAAACAAATAGAGTTGAACTTGAACGTGGGGTTTGGCCATCGAATTTTCTGTTAACCATAAAGTCGTAGTCGAGTAGTAATGGGCTGCCGGCACAGGGGGCATGAAGATATCGACACACCACAGTCCTTGCATGTCTACAATTTCAACAAACGTAAAGAATATGACAACAATACCAAGCCACTCTTTAAATTTCCATTAAGACATACCCAACTAGTCTTTGTATTTAATTACTAAAAACCTTTCTTATGTGCTAGTCCTATACCAGTTTCCGAACGTTTCCCACTATAAGAGTCACGCTAAGCTTTATCGACTAAGTTTATAGAAATATCACGCCAAAATACTCGAGTTTTAACTGAAAACATAAATAACCCATGTCCCTAGCAGTTGTCTCCATACATAGCATTGTTTTAACAAAACCATGAGAAAAGTTCAGGTTGTTATTAAGAAAGTAAAATTCACTTTTTAGTAGTCATTAGTAACCATGAGTACTTGGTGTGTTTAGTTTCAGGGACTGTCATAAATCAGAATATGCTTATGCTCTTACCAGATGGCCACAGCCAAAAGCCATGTCCTTGGGATTTGTCAAGCAGATGGGGCACACCTGAATACAGGAAAACCAAAAAGAAACATTTAAAAAAATTGAAAACCAAAACACATTGAGACATAGTAACTAAGTATTACAACAGCCCATGAAATCACTTACTTGTTCGGGTGATGGGTCCGATTCTGTTGGTTCCGAGCATGCTACTTGTGGGCGTGACTTCTTAGCATTATCGTTGTCAATTACAGTACGTGGTGGAGGAAGAGGTTTTGCCCTTGGACCTGCATGCAAATTTCTACATCCCCACCAAAAAATGAAAAAAATGATTAAACAAAATCCGAAAACATATCTTTCTTTACTTGTTTGGTTTATTATTCCAAAAACATATGTTTCGTTTCTGAAAAAATTAGAGGACAAGTAGATGTTTTTTCTCACTCATTATTTTGCAGTTTCAGTGTTGCTCTGTACTGAAGCGGAATTTCCATTAGAGCTGCCAGGGCAAAAGCTGATTCTTTTCTGGCGGTATCAGTGTGTTCGGACATGATTTTCGTGAAGTTGACAAACTGTTGCATAGAGTATGGGCATTAATTAATTATATTATAATCTTTTCCCAGAAGATTACATGTTACCTGGAAATTGTCAAATGCACGTTGAGGAATATTATCATCAAATTCTTGCATTGCATCCCACGGCCCATCTCCCACACCAATTAGAATGATCGACAGTGGATATTCACTATATACAAAAGGCAAAGAGAAAGAAATCAGCTAAAAATTGTTCGACTACGACTTTATGGTTAACTACAAATACCTCATCTTGAGAGTGTACTTAGGTAAGATCACAAGGGGTTTTTGTAATTTTAAAAGATAATTCGTTTTATTCGTAATCAAGTATACTTTTGCAGAAGTTTTTTTGTAATTGTCTTGAACTTAAAACTAGCGAATAAATCTGATTCACCTCGCAGCAACAATAGAATCGATGGTGGCTTGTTCTTGGGGACTTAACTTTCCAGGTAACGTGTCAGGACTTCTAGTGACCTAATTCCACACTCCATGAATACAGAACATTCAACAAATTGCTTTCACAAGCCAATATTAAGCTCATACTAAGTCAAAAAAACAGAGTACAACCTGTCCATCGGCAATGATAACAAGAACATGATACTGAAAATGGCTCTTTTCCACTATATCAATTGCAGCATCAATTACTGGTGCAAATGAGGTCGGCCCTATATGTCAAGCACCAAATGCAAAACAAACATGGATCATCAGTCAGTCTATTTATTTATTTATTTATTTCATTTCTACAAAGATGAAAACAATCGGATAGCAAATTTCATTTTCCTCCCATGAAAAGCAGTATGAAGTGTTCAACTCACCAGGCAAGTAATTTTTATGACTAACAACAAAATTGGTGAGCTACCACTAACTATTTACGGATATGTTTCTTCACAATCCGAACAGAAATGAATTCATTTCCATTGCTTGCCAATTATGAATCGTTAAACAAAAAGAAGAAACGAAACCCCTAATATCAAGTGACTGATTGATTACCTGATAAATTCAAATGTGGAAGAATTTCTTTGTATCGTGCAAGGGCTTCCTCAAATCCATTACAAGGCCGATGATCGGGATAAAAGCTGAATACGCATTCATCATGTGTTGTTGCTGCGAATAAAAAATGAATGATTGGATTGATTCATACATAGGTAACTGAATCGAAATAAAAATAACAAAAAAAACATAAAGAATGACAATGGAAAAAGAAAACTAACCATCACCAAATCCAAAACAAGGTATCAAATTGTCCTCATCGAAGGGAGACAAAGTTCTACCAATGATAGAAATAGCTTGCTCGTAAGGATTTCGTACATTACCAATTGCGTGAAGGCTCCTCCTGTTGAAAGAAAACTTTCCTATGAACATGATTAAGTCAGATGGTCCGATCCAATAATCAAGAACCCAATGAAGTAAGTAAATTAGTATTTTGTATTAAAACGAGCTTTTACCTGTCCACTCATTGCTCTTCGTAAAATCAATTCCAAGAATTAAATTCGATGATTCCAGTCCAGCCTCTCTCAATGCATTGATAACCTGAACAAAGAGATTAGTAAATAGAAAAGAAAGCAGACTACTTAAATACTTGACAGTCAAGTCACGCATGCTCAAAGAATCTCATTTCTTGATAAACTCCAAATCCTCGAGACATTAGCGTTTTTTCAGTTTTCATCCTAATAAGTTACGTGGTGTTCATTACCTCATCCAGAGAGTTGAAGTTGTCAGCTATATAAGCAGAGTGCTTTTTCTTTCTATAATTCATATTAACTGAAGTTTGGGTGTGATTCGCGTGGTGTCGTGAGCTTGTAGCGTGTTGTGGGGATTGAGGCCGCTGCTCCGTATAGAGTGAGTATCCACTGTATACAGCTGGTTGGCCTAAGTTATTTTCATACATGTCCTCAGCTGCTGATGATTCACTGTTTCCCATAATGTGCGTGTTTATGTCGAACGTATCTACTAATTAAGACCTCTGCACAAATGATGTCAAGAAGCAGTATATGAGAAGGCTGATGTCTCAAGTCCTCTTGCAAATATCAATAACAATAACACTGAAAGTATTATATCCACCATTAGTTATGGCTAATGCGATTTGATTAATAAAAGAGATTCTTGATTAGATTTTAACAGGGACACGAGATCGAGTCACAGCACGGAACCGACTCAAATCTCCAAATTCTGAGTTAATGGTGAAGCATAAATTCATATTTTATCTTTGGTTCAAATTAATTTATCACATATGGTGTATATGATGCCATTGTCAACCAGATAATGCTACTAATCGAGGAATAGTAAGATCAAACGAACAACAAAAATATACGGTGGCAATTTGTAAACGAAGAACATAATTCTTCGTTTATGGCTGATAACAGCAGCATATATTATGAATAATTGGCTGCCAAGTAAAGTGACCACACAACACAAGCATACACTTCTATTCTAACCTTTAAAGAGGAAAAAGGATTAGAAAATGAAAAACAATTCAAGCATACACTTGAATTGCATACTTAATTTCTGTTTGATTGCCTAATTATAGAAACTTAGATAGATATTCTTATACCTCCAAAATGAAAAAAAAAATAGTCAATCCAAAAAACCTCTCTGTCATACCAAAGAATCTAAATCCATTACTTCTAACTCATAATTAACAACAATCAAAACACTTAGAATTGATCAGCAAACAAATATATTAATCAACATATGAAGGTAAAGAATATACGAGAATTAGCAAAGAGTTGTACCTTGTTGGTGTTAGGTAATTGAAATATGTTCTGAAAAATTAGAGATCCAACCAGACAGCTTTTCTAGTTTTTTTTTCTCTATTCTGAGAGTATGCGTATGGGTAACAATAATTTTTTTAATTTTATATTTTGTCAACGATCAACATATCGCTTCGGCACTAAAGCTTTGATTAATTAACTCTCTGATTTCCTTAAGGCTTCTGCACATCTTATTACTATCATTTTAGTCAATCATCTCTCTTTTTATTATTTTATAAATAATATATAAGTTGGCTTGTCTTGCAAAACTTTAAATTGAAACGAATATAAATAATAAATAAATTGAATGTTGATTCACCAAGGCTATGTTTGGTAGACCAATAAGCTAGTTTATAGCTTATTTGATTAACTTATAAGTTTTCTGTATTTTGGTAAGTCAAATAAGCTAGGGCGTTACTATTTACCGCCCCCCTTATTACTAGTCACCGCCCCCCTTGGACGATTTTGCCCTTCTCATTTGCACCATGTCAAGCAGCTCAGAGGTAATTTTTTTTCTG